GTTTAGGGGTTTCGGGCTCAGGGTTGAAGGGATTTTGGGGTTTGGGGGTTTAGGGTCTTGGGCTTTAGGGCTTGGGCTCCCAAATCCTTCAATCTCCGCCTCTCAAGGCTCACGCCACAAAGGTTTAGGGTTTAAGGGCTTAGGGTTTCGGGTTTAAGGGTTTGGGGTTTAAGGGTTTAAGGTTTAGGGTTTAAGGGTATAGGGTTTAGGGTTTAGGGTTTAGGGTTTAGGGTTGCCAAATCTTGGATCCTCGCACCACAAGGACTAAAGCGCTAGCCCCACACGCCCCCCAAAATTTCCTTTGCGGGTTCCTTTTACGGGCTCCTTTACCGGGAGCCCCCACCAACAACCCTAAACCCTAAACCCTAAACCCTAAACCTTAAACCCTAAACCCTAAACCCTAAACCCTAAACCCTAAACTTTAAACCCTAAACCCTAAACCCTAAACCCTAAACCAAGGAAAAAAAAAAACGATCGCCCCACCTCGTCAGCAGGGAACCAGCGGTCGAAGTACCCCGTCGGCTCCCAGCCCTCAGAGTTTTTTTCGGACTCTTCAAGGGTTATAGTTTCTGGTTTCTGGTTTAGAGTTTGGGGTTTAGGGTTTAGGGTTTAGGGTTTAGGGTTTAGGGTTTAGGGTTTAGGGTTAGAAAGAGCTTCAGGGGTTTAGGGTTTAGGGTTAGCAAGAGCTTCAGGGGTTTAGGGTTTAGGGTTAGAAAGGGCTTCAGGGGTTTAGGGTTTAGGGTTACAAGGACTTCATGGGTTTAGGGTTTAAGGTTTGAAGGACTTCAGGGGTTTGGGGTTTAGGGTTATAAGGGTTTTTTTTTCCAAAGGTTTTTTGGGGCTTGAAGGGGCATGAGCTGGAAAGGCTTGGGGGGGTTGGCGGCTGAGGGCGTAGAGGACTAGGTGGGTTCCTGAGTGAGCCCTTAATGATAAGGGTGCCCTTTGTGCTGCTCCTCAGCTTTAATAAGGGAACCCTACAACAACGAGGGGGCCAAAGCGTACTACTCAGGAACCTTATGGTACCTACTATAGAACCTTACAGTACCCTTAAAGGGAACCCTGTCATTAGGACTCTTGGGACCCTTTAAAGGGGTATTACTCAGGAGCGGGTTGAGGCGTGCGGTTTTGCGATTTGGGTTCAGGGTGCTTCAGGATTTGGAATCCTGAGGACGTGCAGCTTCGGGATGAGGGCTAAGGCCTGTTAAGGGTTTGTGGAGGTGTCGGGGTTTAGGGGTTTAGGGTTTAGGGTTTCGGGGTTTAGGGTTTAGGGTTTAAGGGTTTAGGGTTTAAGGGTTTAGGGTTTAGGGTTTAGGGTGTGGAGCTTAGGCTTCCGTGTTTTTGTGGCTTCACCCGGTGCTACAAGCAGACAACTTGTTCCTGAAACTAAAGCAGGTTTAGGGCTTCAGGCTTTAAGGGTTTATAGGATTTTAGGTTTTAGAGTTCGGGGTGTAGTGTAGGGCCAGTGTAGGGACCTTAATTCTTAGAATAGGGTATATTCTAATATAATTATAAGAAGGAGCCCCAAAAAATAGTCTAGCCAACTCTTTAGGCCCTTGTATAGGGCAGTTTCAGGGTTCGGATGCCGGATACCATATATTATTGCACAGTTTAAGGATCTGGGGTCCCTTACTTTTAAGGGTCATTTGGGCCTGAAGGATTGAACCCTAAACCCCTAAACCCAAAACCTAAACCCCAAAACCCGAAACCCTCAACCCTCAACCTTAAACCCTAAAACCTAGACCCCAAACCCTAAACCCTAAACCCTAAACCCTAAACCCTAAACCCCTAAACCCTAAACCCTTAAACCCTAAACCCTAAACCCTTAAACCCCGGATTGAAAGCTCAAGCTTTTCGGCTGCGGGCTTGGGGTTCGGGAGAACCGGGGGAGCTGCCCGGAGCCGAGAGTCAAAGGCCGAGAGGCTTTGGGTTTTTTTTGGGGGGTTTGGGGCTTTTAGGGTTTTAGGGTTTTAGGGCTTTTTTTGGGTTTGGGGCTTTTAGGGTTTAGGGCTTTAGGGTTTTTGGGCTTTTTTGGGTTTGGGGCTTTTAGGGTTTTAGGGCTTTTTTTGGGTTTGGGGCTTTTAGGGTTTAGGGCTTTAGGGTTTTTGGGCTTTTTTGGGTTTGGGGCTTTTAGGGTTTTAAAGCTTTTTTTGGGGTTGGGGCTTTTAGGGTTTAGGGCTTT